AAACTATATTAGTACAGAAGCGATTAATTTCTTGGACTTAACTATCTACAAACAAGGAGATTCGTTTTATACTAAGACTCATTTTAAAGAAGTCGATAGAAACGCATACATCCCCACACATAGTTGCCACCATAGGAATTGGTTAAGATCCATCCCTAAAAGCCAATTGATAAGACTGAAACGTAATTGTGATGATAAGGAGATCTTTCATAAGCAAGCAGATACTCTGTTAGAGAGATTTAGGGAGAAAGGTTATAAAGAGGAGATATTAACAGGTGCAGTAAACCAGGTAAGTAAAATCAGAAGAGAAGATTTGTTAAATAAAATAAAGAAAGAAAATAGAAGAGGGGAATTATCCTTTATAACGGGGTATTCGAATCAGCATAAGGCTTTTGAAAATATAATACGAAAACACTGGCAGATTTTAAAAAGGGATGAGGTTCTTCATGACCTATTACCTAAGAAACCTTCATTTGTCTATAGAAAACCACCTACACTTAGATTATAATTAGCAAAAAATGTTCCAGATATTCCAAAGAAAAAGGCGACTTTTCTTGATAGTGTGGGGTTTTTTAAATGTAAAAGATGTTTGGTATGTAAAACAATGAAAGGAGATAATATCAGAAGGTACGATACGTTTTACTCTTGTTCAAATGGTTCCTCTTACAAGATAAAAAACTTTATATCATGTGATAGCTCGTTTGTCACCTATTTGTTAGAATGTCCATGTCATCTTCAATACGTAGGGAGAACATCTAGAAAACTGTCAGTGAGATTAGGGGAACATATTAGAAATATTAAAAAAGGTTATAAGTATCATAGTCTTTCCCACCATTTTAGAATGTATCATAATAGGGACCCATCTTGTTTGAAATTCTGTGGGATTGATCGAGTTATAGCATCATGGAGGGGAGGAGATAGGGTCAAGTCCATCTCACAGAATGAAACGAGATGGATCCTAAAACTGGGTTCTTTGTTTCCCAGGGGGTTAAATTCAGATATAGATATCAACTGTTTCCTGTCAGATTGGTAAGAGTAGAGGATTTAGTGGTTAAAGACTGCTATATATTTCATACATTTTTTATACTTTTTTTTTTTTTTTATATTTATTTTTATTTTTATTTATTAGTTTTTTTTTATTTTTTATTTCTATTTTTATTATCATTTTTGTTTTAGTTTTATTTTAAATTTTTATTTTTATATTTATTTTCATTTTTATTTTAATTTTATTTTATTTTTATTTTTATTTATTTTTTTCAATATATTTATATTTTTTTTCATCTTATTTCATTTTTATTTTTATTTTTATTTTGTAATCTGTTTTTAGATAGATATACATTTTTTATATTAAACTATAAAGATATTGTTTTTATTGGAATTGTTTACATTAATTGTCAGAATTCATTATGTTGCTATGTTGATCGGCATTTTGTAAAGGTCTCTCACGTCTTGGAGTGGGAGGAGCAGCCTCTGAAATTATCCTGGGAGGTGGTCTGACCAATTAAATCGGAGGGGAGGGTATTCCATTGATATTTAAGTGAGTGAGGACTGGAGATGGGTGTCTTGATAACGCCCTATGGGAGGGGCGAAACGCGTTGACGCATTTCCGGTCCACACTCCATGCGCCTGACGTCATTTCCGGTGAGTGGAATGCACGCTGAGCGGTGAGTTCCAGCAGGGAATTTGGATCTGTGTATTGCTGGTTTAAACTGGTTTTAAATGCATTCTCTCCATTAAGGTAAAAAACATATCTATGTCAGCTCCCCACAACTTACCTGAGCCTGACCTCGATCCAGCGCTGTGCCTATCTGCAGCAGCTCTGCTCTTCTCCCTTCTCTCTCACAGGAGGCTTGGCAGCAGCGGGAGCCATTGGCTCCCGCTGCTGTCAATGAAACATGTAAGCAGAGAGCGGGGTGTAGGGCTGAGCTGTGGTGTGTCTCAATGGATACATATGGTTTGGCTCAGGAGCGAGCCTGCAGCTGTGCCCCCATAACAAGCAGCTTGCTGTGGGGGAACACTCAGAAGAGGAGACTAGAGCGCCATATGCAATACCATTGTAAAGAGCAGGTAAGTATAATCTGCTTGTTATTTTAACTTTAAAAATACCTTTACAATTATTTTAAGAGACTGTAGAAATGTGTGGACCCCCTCATGTTACTACACCTGAGTGTCATTTATACATATAAATGTGTCATTTTATTACCAATATAATGTGCAGCAGTTGAAGAACGAGCAATATATTAATGAATCTGTGAATGTAGGTGGAATATATTAATGGAGTCACTTTCAAGTGTTTCTTAGCACCTCAGATTGTCACATTCTCCAGATAACACCTCTTGTCATGAGGCTCTCGCTTCTCTTTTACATATGTAAAGGCAGCTGTGCAAATTTAAAGTGGTATTAAACCCCAAAACAAAAATATAATATATTGCTGCATTCATTTTCTTTTTTAGCCTTTTTTTCCCTTTATTTCACCTGCTGATGCAGCCAGTAGTACAATTCCTGTCTTAGGGTGTCTGCATTCTGTAGAAAGTAGTGAAGCAGACACCTTTTGGACAGCAGCATTGTCAGCCTGGGGAGAGGATGATTTTAGACTAGCAGATTTAGATGGACTTGACTGACAAAGTGAAGTTTAACTCCATCTAACACATTATAAGTTTGTATCCTTTTGGGATAAAGCTTTTACATAAATGAATAAAAGCTGACCATGCGAAGACCCATCCTTCACTCTGAGCCATTGTCTGCTACGTGTAAATCCACCTCGGAGCTGCGTGCAGGTAGCCCATAGAAGCGGATTCAGACACAGTGGCTACGTGGACACTGTGCCATTTCAACATTTTGACATGCTCTTTTGATGAAGGAAAGATTAAGATTTATACATAAGGTTTGTCCATAAAAAGTTCACGAGCTGTGGGAGCCTTGGCTGGCTACTCTAGGGCTTGCTACCTTACCCCTAGTAGTTATTAAACTATTACAATAAATTGTTTGTTGTATGGATCCTGGTACCTGATATTGTACCCTGTCTAAGGCTTTTTCATTAACCACTTTCCCACTGACTTATAGTAGAAGTACTTCAACAGGGCGGCAGGGCTGCGCAAAGTCACATAAATATACGTGATTTGCATTCCCGGGTAAGGGTCGCGCGCACCACCCTACCCACGCCGCTCTTGACTGCTGGACATGTAAATCACCGGGTGAACATTGGCAGAGCTGACAGGGGAGACACTTGTGTGTAAACAACACAGGTCTCTCTCCTGTCACCGAGGACAAGCTGCACAGCAGAGAAATACAAAGCAGCATGTCTCCGTAATAAAAAACAATACAGCACATAATGTAAAACACACACTGCACACAGTTAACCCTTTGATTACCCCAGATGTTAACCCCTTCCTGCCCAGTGGCATTAGTACAGTGTCAGTGCTTTTTATTAGCACTGATCACTGTATTAGTGTCAATGGGGATGTCAGTGGCAGTCAGTCAGTTCCCACCCAGTGTCAGAATGCCCAATGCAGTCTTGCAATAAGTTGCTGATTGCCGCAATTACTAGTATAAAAAAAAAAAAAAAAAAAAAATTCCAGTGTATATACTGCCATTTTTAGGCGCTATAACTTTTATGTAAACCAATTATTATATACTTATTGGGATTTTTTTTTTCCAGAAAAGACATAGCAGAATACATTTTGGCCTAAATTTATGAAAAAAAAATTATTTTTTTACATTTTTTACTGGATATGTTTTATAGCAAAGTCAAAAATATTGTTTTTTTTTTTCCAAAATTGTCGGTCTTTTTTTTTTTTTATTTTATAGCACAAAAAATAAAAAAATACAGAGGTAATGAAATACCACCGAAAGAAAGCTCAACTTGTGGGAAAATAATTATATAAATTTCATTTACGTACAGCATTGCATGATCGTGCAGTTGTTAGTTACAGTAACGCAGCGCCGTACCGCAAACAATGGCCTGGTCAGGAAGGGGGTTAAATCCCCTGGAGCAGTGGTTCTCAACCTTCCTAATGCCGCGACCCTTTAATACAGTTCCTCATGTTGTGGTGACCCCCAACCATAAAATATTTTCGTTGCTACTTCATAACTGTAATTTTGCAGTGGGAGGAGTAGTGCCACATCATTGATGTCAGAGGAGTAGGCCACATCACTGATGTCCCATCGTCCCATCGTTGGTATCAGTGGGAGGAATAGTGCCACATTGTTGGTGTCAGTGGGAGGAATAGTGCCCCATCATTGGTGTCAGTGTGGGAGGAATAGTGCCCCATCATTGGTGTCAGTGGGGGGGGGGATAGTGCCCCATCATTGATACTAGTGTGGGGGGGAATTGTGCCCCATCATTGGTGTCAGTGGGGGGGATAGTGCCCCATCGTTGGTTGGAATAGTGTCAGTGGGGGGAGGAATAGTGCCCCATCGTTGGTGTCAGTGGGGGGAGGAATAGCTCCCCATCGTTGGTGTCAGTGGGGGGGGGGGAAATAGTGCCCCATCATTGGTGTCAGTGGGAGGAATAGTGCCCCATCATTGGTATTAGTGACACCAATGATGGGGCACTATTCCTCCCACTGACACCAATGATACTTACCTTGCTGACTCCTGCTCCAGCCTGGGCTCGCTCCCTCCCTCTCCCATCTACAGCCAGCTTACCTGGCTGCAGCAGCACCATCTGCACGCTACAGACACTTACCTGTCAGCTGTCTTCCTTCTCCGGCCGCTCCCCCTCGCTCGATCTTCTTTGATCTCTTCGCGCTGCTGCTTGGCTCCTCCTCCTCGCTGGTGATTGGCCTCCTGTGTGCCCCTCCTGAGCTACAGTTCCGGCGGCCAATTACTGCTGCTGTTGAGTGATCCCGGGGATGTGGCCAGATGACAGGGGCGGCATGTCATCCCGCGCACACATCGCAGTCCAGGGAAATGTGGACGTATCTGCATGTGGGCGGACCCGCCTGGAGACTGATAGAGGAGCGGTGTCTTGGTTCCTAAGACCATCGGAAATATGTGTTTTCCGATGGTCTTAGGAGACCCCTGTGAAAGGGTTGTTTGACCCCCAAAGGGGTCGCGACCCACAGGTTGAGAACCGCTGCTCTGGAGGATAAGTGGTTAATAGCTCGACATATTCATATAACTTACTGTTTCCTGTTTCTTTGGCGTTACATGTTTAAGCATGAACCACTTTACAGCTGTCCAAGCCAGTTCTGGTTTCAGGATTGGCAGTTTAGAGGCTTGATTTAATATTGTCTTCATTTAATTAGTTTTTAAAATAAAGTAGTAAAGTCAATGCAACTATATTCAACAGCAGTTGGTGTGTCAGGTATGATCCACATCCTCCTAACAGGTTAAAATACACATACTGTATGTGAACTGCAGTTCATATACTTCTGCCAGACAGTAGGGTGACACAACTTTCTCTGCTAAAGTTAGGGAATGCACTGGTGTCAGAAGTCAGCTCCCTGCCTACACAATAAAAGGAGCCGTAAGACGCTGATATGTTGTCAATTCTGCTCATTCTATGCTGTTCAACTCTCAGCTTGCTGCCTGTCAGTGCTTGTTCATTCAGCAAAGAATGATTGCTTACTAGTTCTACCCCTCCTTCTCACAGTCTGATTGCTGCTGTGCAGGGAATTACAGTAGGCTAATTTCAGGTTCTTATTCTAGTTACCTGTAATAAAGTATTTCTAAAGTATAAGCTTCTCTGATTGGTTTTAGGCTGGCCAAAGATTATGCAATTTTCTTTCCTTCAACCATGGACTAAGGAAAGGAAACTGCTACATTTTCCCATCAACACAGTCAGTGTTGTCAGGGGAATCTCTCACACATACACACACATATACAGTGTGTATAGATATATATATATTATAGCGTTGCGCTAAATCATAACACATTAAACTCAATAAAATGATAAATAAGAAAAACAGTCTTTATAGTGTGAAAGTTCAAATCCAATATTGTGCTTAAATGTGCTTGAAAAAAAGTCCAAATGGCTCCAAAACGACAGTGCTCCACTGCAACAATAAGTGCACCACCACCTACGAATATGGATGGCCGCTTACCTCATGAAATGGACCTATATAATATTATAGGTCAACCAAGCATAGTGATTCAATAAAAATTCTCCAGATGGCAGTAGAGAGCTGATTGAGGCCACATCATGAATAATTGTATACGATCATAAATCAAGGATCTCTCCGTACCTCCATAACGACATGTAAGGAAGAAAAACAGCCTCCCATTGCATAATAACATTTTTATTATTAAAAACACACACAGAGTAAACACTCACATTTTTAAAAATGGCAAAGATCGGTGTACAGCATGCAACGTCCAGTCCGCAGGTCCGTGACCGGAACTGACGTCACTAAGCCACCAACCACGTGGCTTCCTCAGGGCCTTTCCTTGGACCTGGTAATCTCAAACCATGCAGAGCTTATTACAAATGTCCATATAAAAGAAAATCTGGGTAGCAGTGACCATAACATGATTTCATTTATTGTTAGCTGTAAACATCAAGCACATACAGGAAAAATAAAAACTCAACTTTAAGAGAGCTAATTTTCCAAGGCTGAGAACTGATCTCCAAGACTTAGACTAAGAGGGCATATTGGCATCGGTGAACACAACACAAAAATGGGAGTTCTTCAAAAAGACTGTATGTGAACACACTACAAAATATATTCCAATGGGCAACAAGGCTAAAAATAAACCTATGTGGTTTACGGCCAAAGTTAAAAAAAGCTATAGATAATAATTAAAGAGCTTTTATTAAATATAAATATGAAAGAACGCTATCATTGTTTAAGCATTACAAAGAATATAACAGAATATGCAAAAAGGAAATAAAGGCTGCAAAAATTGAAAACGAACGACCGATTGCAAAATATAGCAGGACAAACCCCCAAAAATTCATCAAATATATTAATAGTAAAAAGGTCCGGGCCGAGCATGTAGGTCCTTTACAAAATAATCTAGAGTGGGTGACTGGGGACAAAGAGAAGGCAAATTTATTAAATACCTTCTTCAGCTCTGTGTATACAAAGGAGCATGGGGGAGCTCTTGTCCATAATGGGCATGGTATTGACACAGCTCCAGATGATCCACATTGGCTCACAATTGATATGATCCAGAAATATTTAGACAGAATAATGGTAAATAAAGCACCTGGGCTGGATGGAATACACCCACGGGTCCTTGAAGAATTTAGCTCTGTCATTTTAAAGCCATTGTTTCTAATTTTTAGGGACTCTTTAATGACTGGCATAGTACCACTGGATTGGTGTGGTGCCTATATTTAAAAAGGGGTCAAAATCTTTACCAAGTAATTATAGATCTGTTAGTTTAACTTCCATAGTTGGGAAGATATTAGAGAGTTTAATAAAACACCACATAGATAAGTTCTTGCTGGAAAGAAATATTTTAAGCAACAGACAGCATGGATTCATGAAAGACAGAAGTTGTCGAACAAATCTGATTTATTTTTATGAGGTGAGCAAAACCTTGGGCAGAGGGGTAGGGGTGAACGTGGCATACTTGGATTTTGCAAATACAGTTCCCCAGACATGGCTAATGTGTAAGGTAAAGTCTACAGGCTTGGAAAAATCCGTATGTAAATGGGTAGAAAACTGGCTAAAAGATCGTATTCAGAGAGTAGTGGTTAATGATTCATACCCTAAATTGTCTAGGATTGTTAAAGGTGTACCCCAAGGTTCAGTGTTGGGACCTTTACTTTTTAATAAATTTATAAATGATAGAGGGTCTGGGTTTAAAAATACCATTTCAGGTGACACCAAGCTGTGCAGTGGAATAACGTCCTTACAGGATGTCTCCAATTTACAAGCCAACCTCAATGCACTGTTTAATTGGGCAACTATGTGGCAAATGAGACTTAATATTGATAAATGTAAGGGGCTAAGAATATGCATGCATCATACATACCTTGGGGAGTATAACTGGGGGAATCAAAGGAGTTCTGGTAGATCACAAGCTTAATAATGGCATGCAATGCCAAGCTGCGGTTTCTAAAGCAAGCAAAATCCTTTCTTGTATTAAAAGAGGTATAGTCTCCAGAGAGGGAGATATCATATTATATATATATATATATATATATATATATATACCGTTTTATAATTTTTTTTTGTGAATATATATATACAGTAATTCTTGATTATGTAAAAAGATATCAAGCATTAAAATGACCAGCATTGAATGTGAAATGTTTCAAACCGAAAATATGGCCACCGCCCCTCCAGAACGTGGTGATGTCACATGCCAAAGCTCCAACCTGGAGATTCGGCACGTGACGTCACCACGTTCTGGAGGGATGGTGGCCATATTTTCGGTTTGAAACATTTCACATTCAATGCTATTTGTTTTAATGCTTGATATCTTTAAAGAGGAGGAGTATTCATCATCTTAAAGGAGGATTCTTAGTGAAAATAACCTGCTTCAGTGATTCCTTATTTACTGCACATATTGACCGATATTATACGGTCTGAATGTCCGATAAGGTGCTTACTTATTTGGGGTTTTTGGTGACGGTTTATGACGCCAGAATCTCCTCTTGCAACCTGTCTCATTTACTTGAGAATTATTTAGACTTTTATGTTGATATTTTATTAGCGCTGCATTTTTGTTATTTAATTCTTGATTATGGCCTTTGAGAATGGTAATGCCTAATTACGTGTCATCTTTCATATACATGTTCCCCTATAATTCCATGTTCCTTATCAGTGACCGCAAATATATCTTAGAATTTGTAATCTTCCAGTAATTGACTGAGTGTTATATATACTGTTTTTCTATATTGTGTTCTGTCGACCTGCGCTGCTATCCCCGCCTTCTAGTATACTGCTGTCTATCCATCTGATTAAGCCCGCCTCATCCGTTCCTCCATCTATAAGGGAGGGACATCCCCAATATCCAATCAGGTCTGAAGAAGAAGCAGATGCTTCGAAACGCATCACCTGACACACCACCTGACTCGTCCTCGCCATCCCATTGGTTACCCTCTCGGTCCGGACTTCCGTGCGCTCCACGCTGGTTATGGCGCACAGTTTCCAGCGTCTCCCTCGCTGACAGCTGATGGCTCTCTCTTCACTCCATCCCCGGGACCTGAGCTTACATTGATACCATTGCCCCCCCACTGGCCAAGTTGAGGATTTGCCTTACATGCCTACTATTCTCCTACCCTTGTGAGCAGCTATTGGCTCTTACTTTTTAATTATTATTATACAGGACACAATGGACACTTTTTAATAAATAATTTTAATCTACTGCATTTAGACTGGCGCCTACTTGTGTTCCTTTGTATTCTCTACAGTGTATTGCTTTGCTCTATGGGGAGCTGCCACTGTTAGTGCCTTCATCATGGACTTTATGTGACACATTTCATATATGTTTTACATATTTTATTGTTGCCCTATTGTTGTCTTATTTATTCATTTATTTAGTCTACTACCCATGCCCCCTCTCAGCGCCAATTATCTCAATGAGAATGGAATAGACTCCCTCGAGTTTCTTCTGGCTAGCTCAGTGTATTGCTTTAAAAAAGGCCTGGATTCTTTCTTGGATACACAGAATATAACTGGTTACTAACATTTTATAGGTAAAGTTGATCCAGGGAATAACCGATTGCCTATCGGGGGATCAAGAAGGAATTTTTGCCCCGGCAGGAACACATTGGATCATGCTTTGCTGGGTTTTTTGCCTTCCGCTGGATCAACTGTGGGTGTAGGATTATAACTTTTTTTTTTTTTTTTTATGGTTGAACTGGAAGGACTTTTGTCTTTTTTCAGCCAGACTAACTATGTAACTGCAAGCTGACATGCTCAAAGGATGTCGGGATTTGTAGTTGATTCATTCACAGAATGCTGTGAATGAATGATCCGGCCGTTTGGACAGAGCACCGCACAGCCGTGCTCTTTTCAAAAAGTGACAGCTAGTATGGGGAACTTCTCCCCATACTGCTGTCACACACAGGGTTCAGATCTCCGAGCTGCTGCAGGAGTAGGAACATGTTGCATTTTCCATCCTAAAAACAAGTGGAATATATGTAACTTGTTTCTTTAGGTGAACCTATCCTTTTAATCATT